ATGCTTTGTAACATTAGCAACAAATTGTTTCCTTCTGTCTGTTTTTCATTTTTTGTTAATCTGCATTCTCATCTTAGTTGCTTAGCAGCCCATAATAACCAAGATAAAACACTCGAGTTTCCTGTTGCATTTTATCTGGTTTTGCCCCATAGATACTACTAGTAGTGGTAAATTATGCTGTTGCAGCATTGATTGTTAATAGAAGCCCAAATCAAAACCATCTGATCAATATCAGCTTACCATCATTGGCTTAGAAACTCTAGAAGAAACTTGTTCTATCAACATCATGTCTAGAATAATAATCTTGAGTCACCGAGATACATTTTGTAACTCTAAAATAGAGGCATATTCAGAAAATGCCCTACATGTAGAATACTCCACAAATATGTGTATATATGTAGAGGGTTGGTTATGTACTTATTTAATATATTTTAAAATAGATATGGGCAGAAATATTAGGAAACTAAAATTAGTATGAAATTAAAACAAATTATTTTCAGTAATTTAAATTATGAATAGGACTCATATTAAGATTGTTCACATTAGGGATTTTATTATGCCCTTACGACACACCACAGCATAATTTATCTATTGTTTTTTTAACTTCTAGAACTTGGGTTTTAGAAATTAAAATACTCAGAACTTTTTCTTTAGGTTTAAAAATGAATGAAAATAAACAAAATGTCAGAAATATGAAACTAATTGTTCAAATTTCTCTGAAAAGGATAAAGCAGCGCACAAATTATTTAGAAATCCACCCATAAACAAAGTATATATAATTTAATTAATTGGGCAAAAACAAAACATCCATGACATAAAATAGTTAATGTCTTTTCCAGCATTTTTGTCTTTGTTGTATTGATCCTAAGGCTATGCCTGATCTGCTTTAGTTACTTGGATAAGAATTTATGAAAATGATCAGCATTCTGCAAGCCTTCTTAGATGCATTGTGGCATTAACACTTTCTAGATGAAGCAAATAACCCCTAGTATTGTGCTCTTTTGTCAGCATTTTCTTGTAGATTTGAATTTATTTATGTGAATATAACACAAACATGTTCTGGGTCTAAGCTTGCGACTGTCTTTAATAACCTTCATGTCAAGATAGTCAGTTAGATTTTGCTCTTGTACTGGAAATCACAGTGTGGTTACCAAACATGCATAGCTCAAAATAGGTCATGTGTTTGGCAGCTTGAGGGTTACACTGAAATAACCTTACTTTAAAAATAACCTTTTTTCCACTATGGGGTTCTTCTGTTCTTTTAGCATAGTCATTTTTTGAATATATTTGTCCTGGATGGCAGTTTCGGTTTCATCTAAATTTATAAAATTTGTTGTTGTTTATTGCTTTAGGATACTGAATTTCAGTATTGAAAAATCAGCTGTGACGTTTTTGATCATGCAAGATAAAATGCATTGTTTCAGTACAAGGATTGTCATCTCTTAGACTGTCCATGTGATATTATTTGTTCAGTAAAACTTCCTTATGTATTTATATATTATAAATATGTCAGGTGCTTATTGCCTTTTGGTTTCTGCTGGTTAATGACCACAATAAAGCGATTTGCATTTCCTTTTGGTACAATTCTATGATTCATTTCCCAATTTTTATATTATTTCTAGTTTGTTCCCTTAAAATGTGGTATTCTAGAGCTTGAGAGTAGTCATTGTCTAAGGTAATAACTGAATCCTCAATCATGCATATTGTTATAGACAATCTATCATGAGTTAATTTATTTTGAATCCCCACACTAAAAGTGAGAAATTAAATCAGTTATTGTAATGAATGGTTTTAATTCACACTTTCTTTTCCTCTATTAATGGAATTGAGAACACAAAAGGACACAGTTCCTTGTTGAAGCCTCCCCAACATCCTTTTTTCATATCTTCTTAAATTGAAATTTGTGCTAAAACGAACACAGTGGCCACATCTTTCATTTGATAAGATACTTGAGGTCATTTTCCAACAGCCTTGGCATGCACATTGCTACCCTGATAAAGCTTGAACAGGCAGTTCTTTCACTATCTACAATTATTTAATTTTAAAATGAATATGGTATTGAATCCAAATGGCTTAAGATTGCTTACAATTAAAATATAACATCAGTACCAGCAACGTACATAACAATATGTGCATTATATGCATATATACCAGTGGTTGGTTTAAAAAATGTTTAGAATCTCTTCTGTAGGTGTGGCCTGATTTGTGGGAGTGGCTTGCCAGCCATGTGACCGGGTGGGAGTGGCTTGCCAGCCATGTGACTGAGTAGGAGTGGATGGCAGTCATGTGACTGAGTGGGCATGGCCAACTTGTAAAATGTGATGAAACTCACTTAACAACACTCTTGCTTAGCAACCAAAATGTTGGCTCAGAAACTGGCATTTGAAGCACGCAAGTCTTAAAGCTGTCAAGTTACAAGACCCTTGCACCCCTAGCCCTTTAGAAAAAAACCCCAGGGGTGTTCAAACTTGACAGCTTTAAGACTTGTGGACTTCAACTCCCAGAATTCCTCCTCCAGTCATGTTGGCTCAGGAACTCTGGCATTGAAGTGTGCAGGTCTTAAAGCTGTCAAGTTACAAGACCCTTGCACCCCTAATCCTTTAGAAAGAACCCCCAGGGGTGTTCAAACTTGACAGCTTTAAGACTTTAAGGTTTAGATAGGACTCTTAAAGGCGGACGGAGTGATTGGTGAGCCAGCCAATCAGTGAGTGGCGGTCGGGGCAAGCATGGTGTGGACGGGCGGGGGGAGGGAGCTGGAACCAGTTCTAAATGGCACAGTAGATTCGTGGAACCTCTTCTATAGAAGAGGTTAGAACTGGCAGGAACCCACCCCTGATATATACCTTAGAGTTGCATGCCTATTTTCAAGAGTGCAAATTGCTGAGTGAACATTACCTCTGTTCATTTCAAATAGGGAAAATATTTGGAGAAATTTTGGTTATCTTATTGTATGCTATGTGTGCATTGGAAATGGATATTGTGCATTTCAAACTTTTAATGCCTCATATATGCATACAAAATCTGTAGCCCTCCACAGTTGTTGGATTTTAGCTCACAGCAGCCCCAGCCCTTACACCCAATCATAAGCTGAGTCTGATTCTGTACTCCATTTTGTGGCTTGTGGAGGATTTCACTTCATTTCTAAATCTACTGCTATAATTGACTTCAAACGATCATTTGAGGTCATTTACTTGCTAATTTTAGCCCACAGAGTCCTTTTCCAAATTTAACTTGTATAACCAAGACTGATGGCAAAATTCAGATTCATGTGGTTTTTGATTGAATTTATTCTGCTAATATGAATAGTTATTAGTGTTTTTAAATAAATCTCATACCTAACTGCCCAGAAAAATAATTTATACAAGTTCTGGCAATGTGATAGATTCCTTTAGGGAACCCCATGAAATAGGTAAAGGTGAGACAGAGAAATATATTGCTGATTATATTTTGTACTGTCAGTGAGATTTCAAATTTTTGTCTACTTGAGAAAAGAAAGAGCTAAATTTCTGAGGAAGCCAGGAAACCAAGAATAGCGAAACCAACAGACACAAGGTATGAAAAAGTTAACCCTATTATACTAGAGTGATCAGTTGAAATTCTATTATTTCTAAACTTTGCTTTTATATTGGGAAATAGTCTAAAGTGGATTAAATAGATGAATCATGTTTTCATATAAAATTCTCATAATTTTGGCAATTAACAATTTTTAAATAAATTTGCTTGAAAAAATTCAACATGTTGGTAGTTCTTGTTTAGTTATGACAATTGCATAATACTAAATGGAAAACCACGTGACTGCTTAAGATTTTACTGCAGCTTTCCTTTTCCCTCACTCCCCCACCCTTTGAAATGCTTACCTAAGTCCTGAGATAATTAGCAAGAAGGGAATTAATGTTTGTATTTACATTCATTCCGCAAGAAAGAATTGCGAGAGAAAAAGCAGGCACACAATGGGGAATACACATCAAAAGAAATGCATAGCCTGAAATGTGTTAGGCAAAAATCCTGCATTGGCACATTCCTTATAATGAATATTACCCATTATGTGTTTGCTTTCCCTCTTTTTGTCCCTTCCTCTCCAATCTCTCTGATCTGTAAAAGGGAAAAAAAGAAAATGGTGAGGCATAGGACAATACATGCTAATTGACTTTAATAGCAGAGTAATAAGAGTTGGAAGGGAGCTTGGAAATCTTCTAGTCCAAGCACGAAACCCTACATCATTTCAGAGAAATAGTTGTCCAATCTCTTCTTAAAAACTTCCACTGTTGGAGCATTCACAACTTCTGGAGGCAAGTACCATAGTTCCACTGCTTAATTGTTCTAACTGTCAGGAAATGTATCCTTAGTTCTAGCTTGGTTCTCTTCCTTTACAATACAATAGCAGAGTTGGAAGGAACCTTGGAGGTCTTCTAGTCCAACCCCCTGCCTAGACAGGAAACCCTATACTGTTTCAGACACATGGCTATCCAACATCTTCTTAAAGACTTTCAGTGTTGGGGCATTCACAACTTCTGGAGGCAAGTTGTTCCACTGATTAATTGTTCTAATTGTCAAGAAATTCATAATAGCTTTTGAATAGTTTCCATCCATTGCTTCTTGCCCTGCCTTCAAGTGCTTTGAAGAATAGCTTTTTTCTCCAGAAATGTATTTGTTTTATCAGTATCAGGAATAACATTTTAAAGATTAGGCTAGAAGACCAAAGTTAAATTCAGTATTCATAATACATTTTTAGTAGTTCTGTTCCTGTTTTATATTTAATTATATTCTATATAGAGGGGCTCCATAGATAAGATTGTTTCACTATATAGGCTGAATAATGGAATATCAGATCAGTTGTTGGACAATTAGTGTTTTAGTATCTGCTACTCCCTGAGGAGTAGTATCTTGAACTCCCTGAGGAAAGATATACTATGAATGTGATATTAAATAAACTACATATTTGGCCTATACACTAAATGTTATAGAACAATAAATTTTACTTGACTTTTTTCCTTTGGTAGATGCTACTTCAAATGAACAACAACTCCTCTTCTGTCAGAAATTACAGCAGTGCTGTGTATTGTTTGATTTCATGGACTCTGTCTCTGACTTAAGGAGCAAAGAAATTAAAAGAGCAACACTGAATGAACTAGTGGAATATGTTTCTACAAATCGTGGTGTGATTACTGAATCAGCATATTCAGAAATTGTAAAAATGGTAAGTAAGTCATGTGAACTATAACTCCTTTGAAAGAATTTAGAAATGAAATTATTTGAAGATTTCTCTGTCTTCTCAATTGCTTTTTTATGGAGATTAGATAGTGCTTTTGCTGTTAATCTCCTGTAGTTAATCTTTAACATTAAAATTGGTCTAAAGGGTGATTATTTTTTTCATACTAACAAATAGTTTGTTCAATTATTTATTATATAAATGGAACAAGTTTCATACTGGGGTTACTTTTTCACTTGAATTCAGTTTAGATATCAGTAGGACCCAATGGAAACTCTGATAATATTGTGGGAAACATAAGCATAAATTCAGAAAAACTGAAATAAAACTGAATATCTTATATACCTTCCTACAGTTCTGCTGTAGTGCATTTTAGTTCCTAGCTTTTTGTGGTATCACCTTGGTTCTTTCTTGTTCAATACCTTGTGACATCCAAACCCCTTCATCTTTGCACCATCAAAGTTTAATTTTAGTAGTGTGATGGCTAAAAATCAGTGATACAGTTTATTATCACATTCAGGAGGAAAACAATGAATGTGATAATAAGGCTTACTATGGTTTAAAGAAACAAGGGGCCTTGTTGTATAATTTGGAAATATGAAAATCTGTGAAGCTCTCTTGATCTGTAATATACGTTTTTTTAAAATTTTCCATAATCATGCATCTTATCAGTCTTAAATTTGGCAAGAAACAAAATAAATCAAAATAATACTCCTCCCTCACAATATTTAAGTGTGGCTTCTGGTCATCAAAATGTTGCCTATGCTGGTAGATATTGCCAAATCCCTGAATTCAGTTCTCCATTCTGGGAGTCTGGTGGCATAGAACTAAAACAAATTAAAGTAAAGCTAGCTATCTAGCTAATTGTGGGGTTAACTAAAAGTTCCTAATACTTTCCTCTCAGGAGTATAGAGTATTTGGATCTGAATTGCCGCTTGTTTAAGGAACCATTGACAACTAGCAAACACTGTACCCATACTGATCTAAAGTAGCTTTCCTACTTGAGATCTGAACTGTTCCTTCAGAAACTGTTGTCTCATTGTGGTACCTTACTACATCCAGAACCAGTTTTGTCCTCAAACTGGTTCTGTAAATGACATTTTGGAAGAGAAAGACATGGAATGATCAAAGAAAATAATCAGAATTGCACTTTGCTTTTTTTCCTGTGCGCTGCTTGGAGAGTCCAAGCAAGGGTTAAATTATGTCCTTCTGCCCAATGGACTGGATTGAAATTTCTGACCATGTCTCCTGGTATATTCAGTTTTTCAATTCAGTCTATTGCCCATTAGGATGTCTTTTCTCTCTCTCTCTGAGATTTTTTTCTAAATTTACCTTTATTATCTGTATGTTTTGAAGTTTTTTCCCTTTATTTCCTTAATTAGTTCTTTAAATTCAGGTCAGAGATTTTTCTTTGCAGGTTTCAGAACTTTCAAGGAGCTGACAGAGCACCTTTGATTTCCCAGGCATTCCAAAGTTTTTTCCAGGCACTGGGATGCAGCTGACTGGCTCTTTACTGCCCGGGCTCATCCATTTGGCGACCCGCATGGCAAGACACCCCAAGACATTGTCGGGTTTTCTCCAGCGACGAAGAGCCGGCCAGTAGATGGTTTTCCTCTGTGCGGAGCCAGGACAACGTGGTTGTTTTCTGGACGCTGCCATTTTGGCTGGCCCTTTCCGGTGGCCATTTTGGAGTGCCAAACTTCCCGCCTTCTGCTCTGTTTGCTGCGTTCTTCGGTGACAGTTGGTGAGAGCCCAAACAGCAAGTGGAACATTCTCTCTCACAGTGGCGGGTTACCAGGCGAAAATTTCAGAGGTCTTTGGCTGCGGCCATCCTCTACGCATCACCTTTCAATTCCTGACAGCATCTCGCATCATCTCTTCCCCCCGGCAGCGTTCTTGGTGTCTTTTCGGTGCACGCTTGCCCATCTATCAACGGACTTGGCAGCAATCCATTCACCTCTCAGCCTGGCGAGCACAGCACCTGCATTATCCACCATGGCAGATGAAATCTCCTTGGATCCTCTTCCAGCAGGCCAGCCCTCTAATCAGATGGGGCCCTATCACAGGAAGGCAGGCAGGGCTGCAAGGGAGGCCATTAAGGACCAGGGCCACTAAACCTTGCCCCAGAAAACCTATGAAGATGCAGGAAAAAGATGCTATCAGGCACCAGAAAGTCCTGGAGAAAGAATTTGCAAAGGCCCAAAGGCAGATTGTGGCACAAGTCCACCAGCCAGATCAGCCAGGAAGCCCTATTGGTCAAGATCTAGCGGGGGGGGGGGGCTCCTCCTTCTATATTGGAGAGTGAAGTTTTTTCCTGGGATGTTTCCCTGTGTGGTCCAGGTCTCCTTCCCCCTCCCTGGGGTGTGTGTGTGTGTGTGCTGATTTATTTGAGTGTGAGTTGGTCTCCGAGAGGGAGGGCTCTCTCTCCCATGTTCCTCTAGCCAGAGATCCCACATTCAGACCCACTGTGATGGGGAGCTGCCCAGTGGAGGACCAGGGCCCGGGCCTATCAGTAGAAATGAGGGAAATCATCTCTGCAGCAATCAGCCAGGGAATAGCTGAGAGTCTCCAGAGGCGTGAACTGCAACCACAAGTTCCCCAGCCTCCTTTATCTGTTCCACAGGCCCCTCCAGTCCCACAGGCCCCTCCAGCCCCACAGGCCCCTCCAGCTCCGCAACCCTCTCAGGGTTCCAGGAAGTGATCCCACAGGCTTCCCTCTCCACCTCCATCGGTGGCCAGTGCTGACTCAGTGTGGGATGAGGCAGATGTTGGGGGTCATGAGTTATCAGACGATGAGAACATCATCCCAGATAAACCGGCCTTTACTGGCTTGTTCCAACCATCCTTGTTTAAGGCTTTTATATTTAAGGCCTCCACCCACATGGAGTTGGAGGTTTTCCCGGACCAGAATGCTGCGGATCCCACAGATCACAGTAAAGGCCTGTTTGATGAGAAGGTTCCCGCCCAGGAGATTGTTCCTTCTCCCAAGCTCTTTAAAGACATAGTCCAGCGCCACTGGGTCCAGCCTGGGACTCTGGCCACTCTGGGGGGAAACGACAAACGCCTTTACTCAGTGGATCCCACCATGGAGGAGCTTCTTAAGCTTCCTTCCGTTGATCCTCCAGTTCAAGCTCTCACTTCCTCTTCAGTGCTGCCACCTGACCTTTTAGAGAGCCTTAAGGCAGAGGACAAAAGAGCTGAATGGGCTTGCCACAAGACCCATCAGGCAGCAGTTTGACTCATTAAGGCAGCCACCTCCACCTCATTCTTTAATAGGGCCACTATAGCCTGGCTTCGCCAGTTACTTACTAGACTCACGGCAGGGGACACCAGACTGCAGCACGATGTAAACAAAATTGTGGCTGCAGTGGAATACTCTGCAGACGCCACCCTTAACGCTGCGAACTTTGCCTCGCGGGCCATGGCCTCTAATGTCACCTCTCGTAGGCTCCCATGGCTCTGGCACTGGAACGTGGACATGCGTTCAAAATGGAAGCTTGCTTCTGCCCCCTTTAAAGGGGGCAAGTTGTTTGGGGAGACCCTTGACTCAGTTTTGATTGAGAACAAGGATAAACGGAAGGTGATGCCTTCGGTTTCCAGGAAACTGGACCGCAGGTCATCCTCCTTCTCCCACAGGCAGACTTCCCGCCCAGCTGATCCTCTGACCAACAATTCCTCCTTTCAGCGTTCCTACTCTCAGGGGACGGATTGCAATCAGGATAGGCAGCCATTTCGGGATAGGGCCCATCAGCAGCCGTACTCCCGTCGTCTCCCTTTTGGGGAGGGTCTGGAAACAAACCCTTCCGTCAAAACAAGTGACCACCATCCCAATCCTCCCATTGGGGTGTGGCTGCAACGGTGCGAAGAGATTACCTCAGATGTGTGGGTGCTCCAAACGATTCGGATAGGCCTTACCCTGGAATTTCTCTCTTCCCCCGGCGCCACTTCATTTGTTACCTGACTCCCAGGTGTCCCACCAAGAGGGGCCTCATGGAGGCTGAGATCCATCAGCTCAGGGAGATCAGGGCCATAGAAACAGTTCCCCCGGGGCAAGAATGCAGGGGGTTCTATTCCATTCTATTTCTAGTGCCCAAAAGCTCGGGTGGGGTGAGGTGGAGAGCGATACTCGATTTGAAGAAGCTGAACCAATATGTGGCCTACAACAAGTTCAAAATGCAGTCCCTCCAATCCATCTTGGGCTGCATTCGACAGGGGGACTTCTTAACATCAATAGACTTGAAGGAGGCGTACCTTGATATCCCCATCAGACCCGAGCACAGGCGCTACTTAAGATTCTTCTATGCCTTCAGTACAGGGCTCTTCCATTCGGCCTGCCGTCAGCCCACGGATGTTTATAAAGATCCTGTCCACGGTTAAGAATGCAACCAATCCTCCTACCTAGACGACATATTGATTCAGTTGTCGCTGGTGAAAGCAGCACGAGATCTACGCATCACCATGTGGACGTTACAGAACTGCAGCTTTACCATCAACCTCGAAAAGAGCCACTTGGCTCCAGTCACCAGGATTCTGCACCTGGAGACCATGGTAGACATTTCATCTTGCCAAGTCTTCCTGTCACCAGACTGCGTCGAAAGTCTCCGAGAACTGGTCCAAAGAGTCCGCCTCTCCCCCAGCACTCGCATTGTCACCCTGTCGCAGTTGCTGCTCGATCGTTCCTTGGGTGAGACTCCACACAAAAGATCTGCAATGGTTTCTCCTGCCAATGCAGAGGGCGAAGACCAGCAATTCACTGGTCAAGGTACGTCTACCTACCAAAGTCCTTCAGTCTCTCCGATGGTGGTTGTCCTCAGCCCTCCTGAAAGGAACCTATTTCAAGGAACCACTCAGGCTGACCATCACAACTGATGCCAGCCTCTTTGGCTGGGTAGCTCACTTGCACACCCTAGTGACTCAAGGACAGTGGTCAGCCCATGACCTCTCGCACAACATCAATTAGTTGGAGCTGAGGGCGGTCAAACTAGCGC